CGTTATAATTCTCCTGCTTCGCCACCGTTCCCCGACCCTGTCCGGGAGCGCGCCGTTGATGGCCCTCTCCTCTCGTCGCCCGCGCACGGTGGCGGCGCGGGAAAGGTTGGACCGCCACCTCTCACGCTTCGACGCGGGTGGGGCGTCTGCTCGTTTGCTCCTCGGCGCCGAAACGTTTTTGGCGAGCCTGGTGCACGTGACTCTCCCGGGTGGAATGCTGCAGCATATGGCGCGCTGCCGAACTTCATTCAAGATTTCCCAAGGGCCGAGCTTCACGCTCTCCTGTTTTACCTCACCCGTGCTGCTCCGTCTGTCCAGCATGAATGTGCTACGGATTGTCAATGTGTGGCTGATGTTCGGGCCCTCGGCTATGAAGCCTCCACCCACGGTTGGACTAAGCATTGCTCCCTATGGGCCCAAGTGCATCGTCTAGCGGCTGATGCAGGATATCAGCCAATCCGAGTCGCCAAAGTACAAAATGATGATCGTGACGACCTGCATTATGCTGGTAATCGTCAGGCAGACCGATTAACCAAGCTAGTTGCTGATTTGCATTTCCATGACTCTGTGCAGCAAGACGGCATCAAACTGTATGATACCCTTGTCAGACACCTAGGTTGTTATATAGGGCATTGTGCCGCATGGACTCTTAAGAATGTTCCTACGAACGTTTGGGATGCTGGTGCTGGGGAGACCCAGACGCCAGCACCCCCCTCCCGTCATTTATCGGGATCTCTTGCTGGAGCTATGCATGAGCATGTCTGGTATCCTTCCATATGTCGCGTTAGATGTGTGAGTTGCTGGGCTATGTGTGTATCTAAGAGCTACCTTTTGCGTTCCCAATGTCCCTCGCCTTCTGGCGGGGGACATTGTCTTCGTAGGCTCCATGAAAGTATCTTCTGTCACCGCTGTGGACGCTACTCTAGAAGCAATGTCAAAGACTTACTTCGGAATTGTACTGGGCCCCCTCGGGCCAGGGGCACCCTGTCGCGCCGAAGGCTCATGTGTGAGGGACGGTATCCACGCACCAAGTGCCCAATCGGTGATGTGTGTGCATCTGATTCTGCTAGTTTCATGTATGTCTTCCCCAAACTTCATGATATGTTGAACTTCCATGCCCTGTTCGGCCCAGAATGGCTGCTGCAGCCGCTGCTGCAGCCTGATGATTAGATCGGGGGTTGGCAAGGAGGGGTGGGATCGTGTGTGCTTAACCACAGTAAAAACGGGGATCTCTTGGTACCCGACACCAACCCGACGGGGATCTCTTGGTACCCGACACCAATCCGACGCCATTGCAAGGTTATGGCAAAATAGTTGTTTATGTGTTGTGTTGTTGTATTTCTAGCCAGGCTCGCCAAGCGATGAAGAGGCAACCCCCGTCTCTCTATTTGCTGCGTGCTGTCGGCCACTTTCAATAATCTTCTCCTGCCCATAGACGCTGCCTGACTGCGAGGATTTCACCAGCATTGAGGCGCAATGGAATCAAGCACCCGTACCGTTTGGATTGTGAAATCATTGTTTTTGTTCTCACTGGTTGTTTGTTGCCCAGGCTCGCCAAGAGAAGAGGCTAGGCCAGCTTATATCCCTCTCTCTCTCTCTCTCTTTGTTTGCGTGCTTGGATGTTTTCTCTGTCTGCTCTCTTGGGGCGACATCTGTAGCCCTTCCCGACTATGAGGCCGCCTGACTGCGAGGCTTCCCAAGCATTGAGGCGCAGTGGAAGCAGGCACCCGTGCCGCTTGCGCTTGGGAAACCCCATGCAGCTCTGATCTGCCCTTCTCCCCCGCCCAGGCTCGCAAAGAGAGAAAGAGCTCTGCCGCCGCCTGGCATGAGGATTGCGTGAGGAGAGGTGAGGCAAAGACCTCCGAGAAGCCAGGACAGGGGCGACCCCTCAGACTTTCCCAGCATCGCTCTCCCTCCTCCGCCTACTCCTCGTTGTCTCAATCTTCCTCCCCCTCCTCCTCTCCCTCCTCCTCCAGCCTCCTCCTTAGGCCTCCTGCCTCCTCCTGGGGACTCGTGGGGCCTCTTGGAGCCTCCTGGGCCTCCCAGGACATCCTGGGGCCTCCTAAGGCACTCCTCTTCCTCCTTGTCCTCCTCGTCCTTCTCAAGCTCTGCCTCCTCCTCCTCTTCCTCCGCCTCTTTCTCGTCTTGCATCCTCCTTCCTCATTCGTCCTCCTCCTCCTCCTCCTCCTCCTCCTCCTCCTCCCCCTCCTCCTCCTCCTCCTCCTCCTCCTCCTCCTCCTCCTCCTCCTCCTCCTCGTGCGGAACACGACCCAGATGAAGCGCACGACGTGCGTCCCAAAAGATACGCTCCGGGGGAGGACTCAGAGGAAGCGCGCGCCGGAGGACGACCCGGAGGACGATCCGGAGGAAGCACGGGAGGTGCGGGCCCCACAGGGAGGGAGCTCCCGCCTGAGACTTCCTCGCAATTCACTCACAGACGAGCCTCCCGCCTGATACTTCCCCCATATTCAGGCCTCGGGAGCCCCAAAGTGACAACAGTTACACGTTCGAAGATGACCCGCTCGAATTAAAAATATGAAGTTCGGGCCCCATAGGGAGGGCGCTCCCACCTGAGACTTCCTCACAGTTCACTCACAGACGAGGTTTCAAGCCTGATACTTCCTCCACATTCAAACCTCAGGAGCACAAAAGTGACCACAGTCACACGGGTGAGGATTACCCGCTCGGATTCAAAACATGAAGTGCGGGCCCCAAAGAGAGGGGGCTCCCGCCTGAGACTTCCTCACAGTTCACTCACCGACGATGCTCCCGCCTGATACTTCGCCCACATTCAGGCCTCAGGAGCCCAAAAGTGACAACCGTTACACGTTCGAGGATGACCCGCTCGGATTCAAAACATGAAGTGTTGGCCCCAAAGGGAGGGGCTCCCGCCTGAGACTTCCTCATAGTTCACTCACAGACGAGGCTCCCACCCTGATACTTCCCCCACATTCAGGCCTCAGGAGCCCAAAAGTGACGACAGTTAGACGTTCGAGGACGACTCGCTGGGATTCAAAACATGAAGTGCGGGCCCAAAAGGGAGGGGGCTCCCGCCTGAGACTTCCTCACAGTTCACTCACAAACCAGGTTCGCAGCCTGATACTTCCCCCATATTCAAGCCTCGGGAGCCCTAAAGTGACGACAGTTACACGTTCGAGGATGACCCGCTCGGATGAAAAACATGAAGTGCGGGCCCCATAGGGAGGGGGCTCCCGCCTGAGACTTCCCCACAGTTCACTCACAGACGAGGCTCCCCGCCTGATACTTCCCACACATTCAGGCCTCAGGAGCCTAAAAGTGACGACAGTTACACGGGTGAGGATGACCCGCTCGGATTAAAAACATGAGGGGCGGGCCCCATAGGGAGGAGGCTCCCGCCTGAGACTTCCTCACAAATTACTGACAGACGACGCTCCCGCTCGAGACTTCCTCCATATTCAGGCTAGGGGGTGAGTGATGACGAAGTGATGAGTGAGCGAGTGATGATGATGATGGCGATGACAATGATGATGATGCTGCTGATGATGATAATGATGACGATGACGATGACGATGACGATGACGATGACGATGACGATGACGATGACGATGACGATGATGATGATGATGATGATGATGATGATGATGATGATGATGATGATGATGATGATGACGGTTGTGGTGGTGATGATGATGAGGAGGATGATGAGGATGATGATGATGATCGATGGCCGATGCTGACGGTGATCGATGGTGAGTGACTGAGTATGTTGATGATGGTGGTGGTGGTGATGATGATGACCGATGGTGGTGATGACCGATGACGGGGTGAATGCATGAGCGAGGCGGAGAGTGGGAGGGAGGCGAGGTTCCTACGCGGAGGGTGTCCAAACAGAACAAGAACCCCACTCTGGATGCGGGGAACAAAAAATACCCCGGGACGAAGATCTTCGATTCTTCATCCAAAATCCGCCTGTAGAGGGACACGCCCAACCGAACCCGCCTGTAGAGGGTCCAGATGCTCTGGCGCTGGCCTCGCCGTCGAAATTATCCAACCATATGCAGTTGTGAATACCACAGCTGGGAGCCCCGCCGTCGGTGGAGCTCCCAGCGAGGCCACGAAGCGCGCGAGGTGTGCTGAAATCGGTGCGGGGCCGCCAGGCGAAACCTGCCAGTGAGGCCTTCGGCGGAGCTCACCGTGGGGTCACGAAGCGTGCGAGGGGTGCGCCGAAAATGGTGCGGGGCCGCCAGGCGAACCCTGCCACTGGGGCCTTCGGTAGAGCTCCCCATGGGGTCACGAAGCGTGCGAGTGGTGCGCCGAAATGAGGCGGGGCGCCATGCGAACTTTGCCACGGGGGTCTTCGGTGGAGCTCCCTGTGGGGCCACGAAGAGTGTGAGTGGTGCGCCGAAATGAGGCGGGGCCGCCATGCGGACCCTGCCACTGAGGCCTTCAGTGGAGCTCCTCATGGGGTCACGAAGCGTGCGAGTGGTGCGCCGAAATGAGGCGGGGCCGCCATGCGAACTTTGCCACTGGGGCCTATGGGGCCGCGAAACGTGTGAGGGGTGCGCCAAAGTGAGGCGTGGCCGCCGTGCGAACTTTGCCACTGGGGCCTTCGGTGGAGCTCCATATATGGCCATGAAACATGTGAGGGGTGTGCCGAAACAGAAACATGCGGAGGGCAGAGGCAAGAGAGGGAGGGGGGTGGAGGGCGAGAAGGAAGGAGGACCGCGGGGCGCTGTCTCTTCAAAACGAGGACCCAACACCACAGGATAATTGGGGAAAAGCTCAACAGCGAACCCGGGGGGGGAGTGAGAGGGAGAAGACCTCCTCAGAAGGCTCGGCAGTCCGCCGGCCTTCTGAAAAGTTGCCGAAGCCTCTCCCGAAGTCAGACAGAAACCTCTCAGAGGCGCCAATGCTTCTGAAAAGTCCCGCCGCCTTCTGAGAAGGACCTTTCCTTTGCACTTCCCCCCTCGCTCGCCGCTGACAAATGCACACGTCCGAGCGATGCCGGGGAGGGGGTCCTGCGCAGCGGTCGCTGCTGGTGCACTGGACGCCGTAGACGAGCTCCCACTGGCGGCCGGGACGGCACCCGCCCGCGCGCAGGCCGCGCGGGCGAAGTCCGCGCTGCGGCGGTGGTCGTGGGCGGACCTCCCTGCCCGGTTCCTCCCGGCAGCCCCCCTCCTGGTACCTCCTCTCCCCTCCCCTCTTCCCCCTTCGTCCTCCTTCATCGTCCTGTCCTCCCTCTTCCCCCTCCTCCTCCTCCACCTCCTCATCCTACTCCTCCTTCTCCTCCTCCTCCTCCTCCTCCTCCTCCTCCTCCTCATCCTCATCCTCATCCTCATCCTCATCCTCATCCTCATCCTCCTCCTTTCCATCCTGCCCTCCCTCCTCCCCCTCCTCCTCCCCCTCCTCCTTCCCCTCCTCCTCATCCTCCTCCTCATCCTCCTCCTCTTCGTCCATTCCTTTTCCTCATAGATAACTCCTCCCCGTCGCGCCCTCAGATGTGTCGATCGAGAGGGCTTGGCGTTTCGTTTCAGACCACCTCACAACTGGCGATGGTGGAGCTTGAACTCTGCAGCAGTTTCACAGACGGAATGCGGGGAGGGTCGAACTGTGGCTCTCAAGTTCAATACTTCGCTTCAAAAAATTGCAACAGCATCAGTTTCAAAAGTTTGCAACAGCATCTCGGGTAGGAGTGGGGGCTGCTTTCACAATGCGGCTCTCGCCTGACCGCCACGCACATGTGTCTTGAAAGTTCGCAACAGCATCACGGGATGGCCGGCGGCTCATGTTTCAAAAGTTGTGGCTCACGCCTGAGCGCCGCGCACACTCGTCTTGAAAGGTTGCGGTCGATTTGAGATTCGTATGGATGGAATCCCAAGAATGATGCTCCAGCGCGGATTGGGACTGCCAGCACGCAGCGGCCACTTTCATTCGCTTGCTGAAGTCAAGAAAATAGCGTTCCAGAGCGATTATGTATGCCTGGATGCAACAGTCACGTTCATTCGCGCCGATGAAATCTCAATAATGGCGTTTCGGCGCGATTGAAGCTGCTGAGACGATTGTCTGCCATTAGGGCACTTCCCGCAATGAGAATAAGTCTTTGCAGGGGCTATCAAGGAGGGAACTTGGAAGGAGGGCTAATTAGTTGCAGCGTCGTTGATGCGTCTTGGGTTTGCACTGGTCCTCTTCTTCTCCTCCTCTCCTCCAGCGGCGGGGAGCGAAGTCCTCGCGAACTTCGGCGGGGACGGCGCAAACCAGCAATGCCAGGCACCGGCCCCCCAAGAGCCACCACGACCCAGCGCGGGGCAAGAGCGCCCAGCAACCAACCAGCGGCCGCCCTTAGGCCCTTAGGGGGGAAGGAGTCACGCCGTCCCCCCTTTTTTACGCTGGGCGAGCTTGAGCCACAGAGCTGGAGCGCACCACGGGTGAAACAAAATACGCGAAACCAGCGAGGGCCTCCCAAGAGACCGAACAAGAGGGCACCGGGAAAATGGTAGCGGTGTTGGCACCTGGAGAAGAGGAGGAGGAGGAGGAGGAGGAGGAGGAGGAGGAGGAGGAGGAGGAGGAGGAGGAGGAGGAGGGAGGGAGGAGGAGGAGGGGAGGAGGAGGAGGAGGGAGGGAGGAGGAGGAGGAGGAGGAGGAGGAGGAGGAGGAGGAGGAGGAGGAGGAGGGGAAGGAGGAGGAGGAAGAGGAGGAGGAGGAATAGGAGGAGGAGGAAGGAGGAGGAACGACACACGGCGCCCCGCCTGCCCGCCAAGTCTGCCCCACTGGAGCCCGCCTCCCAGGCCCTACTCCAGGACGCCCCACGCCAACCCGACAGGCCCTCAGGGCGCCCCGCTCCACGCCCCGACCTCCAGCGCCCCTCTCCGGCCCGACGCCCCACCCGACGCCTCGTCCCCAGATGACTCCCCACACCACGCGCAGCAGCAGCAGCAGCAGCAGCAGCAGCAGCAGCAGCAGCAGCAGCGGCAGCGGCAGCAGCAGCAGCGGCAGCAGCGGCAGGGAGATGAAACAGGACGACGAAGACGACGACGACGACGACGACGACGACGACGACGACGACGACGACGACGACGACGACGACGACCACGACATGGGACCGACGGCAGGAGACTGACGGCAGGAGGCTGACGGCACCCCACGGCGCATGCGGCCTGGCCCTCTCGCGGCCCAGCGCATCCCCCCTGTGCGTCGGCGACTTCCGCCCCTGCTAGAAGTGCCCCTAGCCCAAGGTACCCCCAGGATTCTCGTGGTGGCCCAGGCGGCCTCCAGAGCACCCCTCACGAGGCCCAGAGGGCCCTAGGGGCTCCAAAATTGAGCGAGCGAAAAGCCAGGGGCACCTTGGGCCAGGGGCACTTCTAGCAACACCCGATACACAATCTCTTCTCCAGTCGGCGGGACCAGCAAAGCCGATCCTCGTCTACAGCGACGGCCAGACCCGTGGAAACTTCGGCTACGCGCACGTGGACTTCCACATTGTGCTGGCAGGACGCCAATAGGGCGCTCGACCTGCGAAGCTACTCCTACATCAATGGGCGCTCATGCAAGAGAATGAGGAACCTACGGGACCCCAGCCTGAGAAACATCAGCGATGGAAACATCTACGTCAAGAGCTTGTACAATGGCATCGACAACAAGGCCCCGCACGTAGCCTGTTGCATATTCTGCAAAATACTGTCATGCAAGTTGGGTTCTGACCCATATGGGAGTCCTACGGCAACAGTTTCGTGCACTACGAGACCGAGGACGCTGCCAAGCGAGCCATCCAGCGAGCCAACGGCATGAAGATCGGCAACTTCGAGAAGCCAAGCGATCGCATCAGGAGAGGCGCTCTTCCCGACACCCAGCCTGATCCCATATCCTTGGCCATTCTCGTCGACGCCCCCCCAAACCTGACGCACAACCCGACGCCCCACACGACGCTTACTACCCAAAGCCCCGCCTGCCGCCTGACTGGGCGCCCCAATCGACGCACAACCCAACGCCCTGGCCGACACTCTACCCCAGCCCGACGCCCTATTCGACACTCTGCCGCCGCCCTACTTGGCGCCCTAATCTACGCCCGACCCAACGCCCTGGCCGAAAACTTTGCCCCACCCCGGCGCACTGTTCGACACCCTGCTGCCGCCTGACTGGGCGCCCTAATCGACGCCCAACCCGACGCCCTGGCCGACACGCTGCCCCAGCCCGACGCCCTCTTCGACACCCTGCTCGACGCACAAGTCGAGACCGATGAGGAGGAGCAGTACGGTGGCACCCGCGGGGACACACGAGGGGCGGCGAGGACGGCACCAGACACGAGCAGCACGAGGGGAGCCTGGCGGAGGCAGCACCCGAGGCCCCCGCAGCCCCCCCAAAAGAGACCCCAAAAGAGTCCGAGAAGCCCATCGATCCTCGATGATCCGGCATCGGGTCGCACAGCAGGGATCGACCTAAGCATTGTCTTTCGTCTGCATGCCGTTTCGTGTTCCCTCGTTTTGTGCTCAATCCGCCTCTGCTGCCAAACGAAGTCGAAACGAATACGACCCACGAAATCGCCAAAACATAGTTCAGGTCGAGCCCTGTCGGACAGGAGAGGGAAACATGCGGGGACAGCAAGCGACCACAACCACATCGAGGACACACCCTGGGGAATGTCTTGCGCATGCCAAAAATTATCAGAACACCGAAACCAGCCTTGTCTGGGCTGTGGTCGATGTGAGCTCCCAGGACGGCCAAATCAACCACAACCACAAGCAAAGTGCTCACATCGAGGTCGGTGGGTTCTCCCCTAGAGGAACCCTCCCAAACAATCCACTCACAACCACAAGCAAAGTGCTCACATCGAGGTCGGTGGGTTCTCCCCTAGAGGAACCCTCCCAAACAATCCACTCAGTTCTTTGCTGTGGTTGTGGTTCTTTGCTGCGCCCGCAGAACGGCAAAGGAGAAGTTAGCGAGTCTCGGCTACACTCAAGAGTGACCCTAGGCAATAATAACCTTTAGTGCGCGGATGAAGGGGGCGCAAGGTGGCCAAATCCAAGCGTGCAAGCAGCCACTACCGCATCACGCTCAGCGAACGCATGAGAAGCGACCCCCGCCCCCCGCAAGAGGAACTTTAGACCAAGTAGACGGCAATGGCCTCGCTTACAGGACGCCTACGCTTACGCACATTCGCCATAATTGCAGAACGTCGACACCTAAAATTGATAGTTGTGGGGGCTGGGGCCGGATTCCCACTTTTCAGTACGTGCAGTCGAGTCCGCCGCCCGCGGCTGCATCTCCGGCGCCTCCCGGCGCCGGGAGCGGCCGTGCCTCGAGGAGCGCACATGGCGGCGGGGCACTGACAGCCGCTTTCGCAGTCTGCCCCGCCGCCCACTCGTGGGCCACAGTCGGCCCCGCATCGTAAGGGCGCGCGGCAAGGATGCAAGAGCTCAGGGGGGGGGGGGGGGGCACGTCGTCGTTTTTCAGACGAGGCTTGCCAGCGAAAGTGGCCAGGGATGGGCCGAAGGGCCAAGGATGCAAAAGTACCCCTGGGGAGGGTTGCCCATCCTTGCTACGCGGGTGGGCTGTACACGCAAGAGTGGCCCTGGGCAAGATTGACATGTGGTGCGCGGCCTAGAGTCAAAACTGATACTGAGGATGCGCGATCAGAGTGCAAGTCCCTTGGACGCCAGTGTTGAAGCTTTCTCGAGAGCAAAGGGCCATCGAAGATGGTCAAGAATGGACCGAAGAGGCAAGGATGCAAGGGTACCCTTGGGGAGCCCTTCGGGGACACCACCAGGAGCACAAACGACTGCTATTGGCACAGCACTCCGCGTTCGGGGGGTCCCGTGGGGTCTGCAACAAATGTCACTCTGGCGAGATGTTACTCTTACGCGTAGCCGACCTTTCCCAAGCCCCTCTGCTCCGACCCGGCCACTGATCCTCGATCCTCGACGCCTTGGCGGCGCCCTGCCAAGTCGTCAAAGGCTTGAGGATACCTTCTGCCCCTCGACCCGCGCTGGGTCTTCTGCGGCTTTTGCAGGCTTGGCTGGACATGCCTCTGGAGCTGCACCGATGCGTCTAGCTTTGAGGGGGAACGTTAGGGGGGATATACCTCTGGAGCTGCACCGATGCGTCTAGCCTTGAGGGGGAACGTCAGGGGGGAGCTGGCTCGGAGAGGGGGGGAACGTCGACCTGGGATCGGTGATGCATCGCCGACAAGATCGGCGACAGGGCCCCGCTGGCGAGACCGCAAGCTCCTGAAGGGGTGGGCCACCGGGCCCCCATCGGCGATCGATGAGCGATTGGGATCGACGCTTCCCGCCCCCCCCATCAGCCAGTCCCCCATCCAAGCGCTGCCCACTTGCTTTCTGGGCCATACAGTAGGAGCCCGACCCACGAGAAACCTTCCACAAAAAAAACCCAACCCTGAGACCCCAGGACATGTGTTGATTTTTGGGTATGGGAACGTCGCGCTCTCGACAGCAAAACCATCGGAACCCAAGAGACCCAGGGCACCCTGGAGGCAGGCAGGGTGTCTCTTGGCACGGGTCTCCACTGCAACTCTGCTCCCCAGCGGCCCGTCGAGACGATCAGGGCACCCCCCAGACGCCCCTCGGCGAGGCGCAGCTACCGGAGCACGGTAGGACTGGAAAGACGCCGAGAACTGGCGAAACGTTCGCCCGCGGAGACGGTCCCCTCCCCTTGATGGGCCTGTTGTCCCCCGCCACCACCACAAGTAGGAGGGGGAGGGGGAGGGGGTCCTCCTCCTCCTCCTCCTCCTCCTCCTCCTCCTCCTCCTCCTCCTCCTCCTCCTCCTCCTCCTGGCTCAAGTTGGTTTGGCTCAAGCTCGCTCCGCAGGGTCGCCTTGCTTCCCGCAGCGCCGCTGATGCCGCCGACGCCGAGGCAGACGGCCCTGGAGGTTGCCCGCGGGGCGACCCTGGCAGTTCACGCTGCTGCTGGGCTGACGGGCGGCGTGGAGCGCGAGGCGACGCGCCTGCTCCGCGCCGCCGAGGGCCTCGCGCGGGCCGCGGTGGCCATCCTTGCGGCTCCTCCTGCGCCCGCCGCGCCCGCCCAGGCGCCTGGCCCGCGCGCTGCGGCCCCTCGGCGGCGGCGGCGACGGCCTCGAGGCGGCGGCGGCGCGGTTCAGGCTGGGCCCACAATCATGGACATCGACGTGACCGACGAGGCACAGGGGGCGGCTGGCGCAGCGGCGGAGGGCCCCGCGGCGGTTGCCGACCAGCCGATGCTGGATGACGACAGCTGGGCCGACGGGCTGCTGGTGCAGCCGCGCGGCCGGCAGCCGCCCAGCACAGCCCCGCGCGAGGGCAAGGGCAAGAACACGGGCAAGGGCGACGAGCACGGCGACGAGGGCAAGTACGCGCGCCAGGAGATCTGGCAGTTGCGGCTCAGCGTCACCCGCTTGCAGAAGAGCGCGGGGCTGCCCCAGCCGAACCCGCCCTTCGGCCGCGGCGAGCTCATCGCGCTGCTCACCGACCTCGAGAGGCGCGTGGCGGCGACCGGTGGCGGCCGCGGCGGGGGCTCCGGGGCGGCACATTGACGGCATCGGTAAGACCGTCATCCCGTGCTTCGGGAGCGAGGCCGTGATCGACTGGGGCGCCTCGTCGATGGTCGCCTTCATCACGGCCGGGGGCCTTGCCCGGGAGGCGGGCCCCCCTGGCCAGGTGCCCTAGCCTGGAGGCAGGGCCCCCGTCGGCGCGCCCGCCGCCGCGGGCGCTCGGGAGGCGGCCGACCGCCCGCCTCCCCGATGCGCGCGGATCCTCCTCCTCCTCCTGCTCCTCCTCCTCCTGCTCCTCCTCCTCCTCCTCCTCCTCCTCCTCCTCCTCCTCCTCCTCCTCCTCCTCCTCCTCCTCCTCCTCCTCCTCCTCCTCCTCCTCCTCCTCCTCCTCCTCCTCCTCCTCCTCCTCCTCAGGTTGCCATTTGGGCTCCGTGCGCCCGCGCGCGCGGCATCCCATTTGACCCCAGCCAGGCGCCCTGCCCAGGGCCCTGGTCCAACGACTGCACCTCGGGAGCGGGCCAGCTCCCCCGCCTGGCATAGGCGCGCGCGGCGGAGGCGGAGCGAGGCGCGGCGCCTCCTTCGCCTGGACGCGGCGCGGCGCCTGCTCGCAGCCCACCACGGCGAGGCCGCCAACGGCATGGCGCCCTCGCGCCGTCGTGGCGAGCGCGCCGAGCGCGCGGCCAAGTGGCTGTGCCGCTTCTGCAAGCACAAGACCACTGGCCATGACTGGTGGAACGTCGCGACGGCGGCGAGCTGCGGGATGTGCGGGCGGGCCAAAGGCATCTGCTTCAAGGCCGAGGTCGCCCCGAGCGCGCCGTCCGTGCACGTGCCTCCGCGCGGCGGCACGTCCACTCTCTATCCTTGGAGCAAGGAGGCCAAGGAGCTTGAGATGCTTCGCAAGAAGGTCGAGCGCCTGGAAGCTGCCCAGGCCCCTCCGCCAGGGCGCCCGGGTGCTGCGGCGCCTGAGTTCGTGGACGTCGAGATGTCCGGGGAGCCCTCGGATGACCTCGCGCGGCAGCGCCTCCAGGAGCTGGACAAGGAGCTCGTCGCCGTGTCCAAGCACTGCGGGCCTGCATGGGTGGCGTGCAAGCAGGAGCTCGAGGAGGAGCGCGAGCGCCTCCGCGTCAAGCTGCTGGAGTCCAAGCCGATCCACGCCAGAGTGCGCACGGTCACGGCTCGCCTCGAAGCGGCGGAGAGGCAGCTTCTTAAGGCCAAGGAGAGCCTTGGGAAGGAGCGAGAAGGACTGGCGGCCCTCCTCAGGAAGATCGGGGAGGCTGAGACCGCCATCCGGCAGCAAGAGCAGAACATCAAGGACCTCGCGAAGCAGAGGAGCCAGTTGGCCCAGCAAGCAGCTGGCGAACAGGCCTCTCTGCCCATGGCGGCGGTCGGCCTCGA